TATGGATTATTTTAAACATTTGAGATAATGGAAATATCAAGTCATCCTTTTCCCTGTCTTTGTTAACAGTTCTCCAAATGAGTGGATCAGGAGCTTTATCAGCCTTTAAATGAAAGAACAATTGTCTGATAATTTAACAGGCAGGGCCTTTTCAGAGCTTTTTAGGAATTCAGATTAAGCTCATAGCAAGATACACATTTTTGTTGTTTGAAAAACTCTTACCTTGCTTCAATTTATTGACATTTTTATGCCTGAGGAATCATTAAAATTTTGACTTCTCTTTAAAATCTAGAAATACCAGGATTTAGCCAGAGAGAAATTTCCATTATTTAGAAACAAATACATTTACCTAATACATATTTTGTATTGTGCAGCTTTGCACAATGTTGGAAACAAGAGGCCTAAAAATTCCAGTCCTGTTGATGAGCCATATTTCTATCAATGTGGTATAACAGGATACAATGGAAATATTTTTATAGTGTTTTGGGTTTAAGTATCTAAAGAGCAAAATTTTGTGTCTGAAAGAATTTAAAGCCTGCTTAGAGCTAAAAGAACTTTAGGACTCCTAAACTAGGAAATACCAGAGTTAAGGCTGGTTGTGCAATCTCTCTGTTTATGGACTTTTAGATTGTGTGGTTTTCTTCTTTTGCAATAAGGACTTTGTTTCAGCTATCAAACACTTGGAGTGGTGCTCACATCGAGAGGCTACTCAGTATTCTGGTTTTTCCTCATTACTCATGCATGGCCTTTGTTATATGCCACTGGAGTGCTGCACTAGAGTCAGAATTATTGAGTTTTCATGTTGTTTTCTCCAATAATCATCACTATAAAGCTGGCAACTCATGAACAAACAGAACTGTCTTACCTTGCTCAGATTATAAATATTATTCTTCCCATTTCATAAACTGAGATCCTAGGGCAGAGCAGTTACAATTAGAATGGAGTGCCTGACTTTAATTACTCAAGCCAAATTTTTTCCAAGGTATTTATTATTCATATGTTCAAAAAAATTTCTTACAGACTTGGATTGGGGTGATTGGCGTTTTTTCAGGCCACACACTCAAGTCTTGCACCCAGGTCCAGGATCTCGACTCAGCCACCGAGAAATGAAGCAGTGCAGCCACTTCAGATAACATTTCACAGCTTGTGTATCATTGCATAACATCTCTGGGATGGAATTCAGCTTTCCAGGATAGTGTGCAGCTGTCTGTGCTCAGGTTTTTTTATATTTCTCCCTTGTTGCAGTCCTAAACATAGCAATGTAAAGGTGTCTGCCTGCCTTGCAAGACACGGATACAGAAATTTCTTTTTAACATAGCCAAGTGTGGATTTACATATTCAGGAGCAAGAGTCTAGACTATACATAGACCAAAATACTTTAAGCATGGAATCAAGAATAAACACAAATTTGAGACTTGGTGTTTATTTATTTATTTTTAATACCAGCAAGTATAAAACAGAACCTAGGTACAGGGGAATCTCTAGTCAGTAGTTATTTCTGGATCCATTTTATGCAGTCTGTGGAGGAGTAGCTTAAAAATCACATGTTGCAGGTACACTGAAACAAAAGCTTTCATAATGGAAATGTCTATCCAGAAGACAAAAATCTAATCGCTGGAATAATGAAGAGGAAAAAAAGTAATCCTAGAAAATGCCTTTCTTTTTAATAGAATACTTAACACGAATGATTGAGGTTGATAAGAAATTCTGTATCATCGTAATAACTAAATTAATGTTTCAAATATTGAGAGGTTGGAAATTGTTGTCTATAATTCTGGAAGATAGCAGCTGTCAGCTTCTGCATATAAATAGCATCAAGTGTTCTAGTGTTTGTGAGGACAGGAGAAATCCATGGCCAAAAAAATGAAAATTGTAAGGCGGAAGCTTTCGAATTGGCTCTGAAGTCGTGATTTCAAACTTAAATAGTGCCCTTCCTGAAATTCAGTCACTGAGCTATTCAAGGAGCTTCACAGATTTGGGTAAAAATTTTCAGTTTTGATTTATGAGAGGCCTGCCTTTTAGAAATTCTAAAAATTCTAAAGACTGATACCCTTAATAATTAATAATGTCAGTCAGTTTATTTCAGTAATTTATTTAGCTTCCCATTCAATGTTAATTGGATCTTGTTGATTTCATAGCTGCATTATGTCATAGTTTTGTGTAATCTTGTTAACAACATGGTAATTGTGGCACTTTTTTTCCTTTTAATGTCATCAATTCATTACTTGACTTTGATTTTATTTTTTTCTGTTTTTTACAATCTCTTCTTACATAACTTTATGGTTGAGGCTGGGCCTAAAGTGCCTTAATATTTCCTCTTCTGTTTGGCAGTGGAAAAATTTGCTTTGTGTCTCTGATGTTTTGTGATTCATTTTTAACATGAACATGAAATTACCACTCTACACATGATACTTAGATGTGAAATTCTATTTTGTCAAACAGTCTGACAGAGTGGGAAGGCAGATAAAAGTAATCTGTTTATGTTTAATCCTGATAAAGCAGGCAGTGTTTTCATGCTGGTAGAAAGCTTGCAGTGAATTTGTATTGTGTGTCTGTGAGTGTGCCAGGTTCCCAGACAGTCACAGGTTGTTATCAGCTTAGGTTCTCATTCTGGTTGTGGGGTTTTATGTGTTGCCACACACATAAGAAGTTTTTTTTTTCATTTTGTCTTCATCACTAATCAAGATGGAGGCCATCAATACTCATTGTTACCACTACTATCTACACTTTTTTCTCTTAAATACAGATGACAGGAGAATATAGTGAATTTCTGCCATGGTTACTTCAGGTATCTCAGATTTCCACAAGTTGCTGTGTTCTCACTGGTCCCTCACTCTCACCTGCATAAAAGAGTTCAGGGTGTGTTGTGCTGCCACAGGCTCAGGGATTGTTTCTCAGTGAATTTCAAGTGTCCATCTCCTCTGGACAGATGGGAGCAGTGTGGAAGGAAGAAAAGTAGAACTGTCCACTTCTGAAAGATTTCACCCCTGACTGGGGGAGCTCTAAGCTCACAGGATGTTGGGCTTTGCTCTTACCTTGCTTTCAGCTGTGCTTCCTAATTTGGGTTGAAAATACCATTTAACCAAGGGGAGAAATAAATGTGGGTGGGTTTGAAATTCAGCCAAACTCAAGGCTAAAGGTCTCTGGATCTGCAGTATCCTGACTTAAAACTGGAGTTGAGGTGGGATATGTTGTTGGGGGTGGTGTGGTTTGGTTTGGTGGCACAGACCCAGTGCCCTTGTTCTGTGACCCAAAGAGGTTTGTATTTGTTGCAACTGTATTTCAGAATATTAGTTGTAGCTCTGTAAAATCTGAAATCTGTCATTGTTCTGGTTATCAGTTTACTTGTGTTTGTCTCTGATTTGAGGTAAATCAGCAGCAGAAGCCAGCCAGTGTGAGCCTTGCAGCTTCTAAAGGCCAGGAGCAGTTTGGCATTTCCAAGGGACTGTCAGCTCTCAGATTTATCAGATATTCATCGATAGTCTGTGACATGTCTGTTCTGTTGGCCAAAGGTGAAGCTGTCCAACCTGTGCTGCATAATTGATGGTGCCACCAGCTGTGGCAGACGTAAAAGAAATTTGGGAAGATGGAGCAGATGGCCAAAATTTCATCAATACTCTTCTCCATTGGAGATTCTTTTATAAAGAATGAGAATCTTGATTAAAACAAATTTGGTTTGTCTGGGATTCTCAGTCTGCTTGCTGTGCTGTTGCATTGAGGAATATGGAGTTACTTGTGATTTGGACAAATTTTCAATTGTGTTCCATCAGAAGGATGTGGAATTTTGCATAACAGGTCAGCGTTCTGCAACCTTATGAGTTGTGCACAAACTTTTCTACAGGCCCACAGTTTATTATTGAACACCCATTGGAACATGCTAGGATATTAATGTGGATTTTAAATGCATATTTTAATATTTCTGTTAAAAAAAACTGAGATTACTTGTGCAGTTCAGCTCTTAAGTTGCACATTTGTAGAACCACTGGTGCATATTATGTTACTTGCCTTTTTTAGGTGAATAATAGAAATCATCACACTTCTCAATAATCATCAAAAGGACAGTATGTATTTTAAAAGGTAATTTTTGTATGCCTATAGGATGTTTGATTTATGAGATATTTTAGACTTTTTGCCAACATGATGTGTATTAAATAGCTGGGACCATTTGTAGTTGTATGGAAGACAACACACAGCTTTAAGTTTGGGGGGAATGGAGAAAATAATATACTTGTGTCTTGCAAGCAGCTGTACATTCATTTTCTTTCCAAACATTAACAAAGCCAAGGTACACTTCATATGCCACATGTTTGGCTCTGTGGAATTGAAGGAGTTATTGCTTTTGGACTCTCCTAATATTAGAAATTATTACATCATCAGGGTCAGTGTTGCAATTGTTTTTGAACAGGTGCTCAATCCGTGTCAAATGAAATGTTGGAAGACATGGCAGGAACTGCCAATTCCTGGTGAGGTTAAGAGACAGCTCTTGCCTGCAGTAGGGCAGGGAGGGAACGAGAAGGAAACCCAGGATCTCCTGCAGAAAACAATGGGCACAATTACAGCAAATCTCCAGGGAGGCAGAGATGCTCTGTAAGATAGACCTGAACGTTCTTTGAAAACCAAACAGATTTTCCTCCTTCCATATGCATGCAATGCTCCCTGCAGCATGCTGGTAGTGGAGCCAAATGGATGTGACATAAAATAAAGCACAGAGAAAAAGATTTTAAAGAAAAACCCTCACTGGTTTAGTGTTCTGAAGAAAAGGATCAAATACCTTTGCCTTAATTGAGTATTTAAGAGCTTGTAATCTGAATGCTTAGAGATGTGCCTTTGATCATTTTTGATTTTATAGGATCTGAGGTGTCATTTTGTGTTTGTGGATGGGGAAAACACAAGATGAAAATAAATTTGAAGATTCATTTGCAGGTCACATTTAAATATCTACCAGGAAGAGTTGCTGTTTGAGAAGATGCTCACAGTTTGTGTTTGATGTGCATTTACAGTGTCCATATATGGGATTTGGTTTTATGATAAAGAAGAATGCCAAAGAATTGCAGAGCTCATGAAAAAGTAAGTGATGGGTAAATTTTTTAATGTATGTTTTCTGGTACATACATGCACATTTTATGTTTTTAGGATTATAATACCTTTCTGCTTTAAACTTACAAACTTTGTTGCAAGTGTCAAGCCTGCATTTCATAAAATCATAAATAAGTCACTGTATTGCAGTAATTTTTCCTAATTTGTAGTGCAGCTCTCCAGCTACATCAGAGTGTACCAGTTGATATGATTTATTTCCTGATGACTCAGAGACCTATTTTGAAGAATTGTATTCTTTGGGGGTTTAATATATCTTTCAATTTGGGAAGATTTTATTTTTTAATATCGTTATCTTTCTTTTTTTTTCCTTATATTAATGTAAGTGCAGGATATCATGAGGGCATGCTGTATTAATACAATTTCTGTGGGGTTTGTCCTGTTTGTACAGCATGGCTGAATCCCTGCTTCCTCATTTCTTAGCAATAGATTCAAAATTCACTTTGTTTTTGGCATTTAAAGCAAGACTTCAATTAGCTTTAAAGTCATTGCTTTCATGCACATAAAAATGTGTTTTTCTAAATGTTAAACTTTAATTTTGCAGTGCAGCCAGAGGTGAAGATTTCACACAGGACTGTGTTCTCAGCTGTATTTTAACCTAAGAATGTCACACAGCTTTTTTCAATATCACTCTTCTCGTGTCCAGGCTAGACAGGGCTCATTTTCCTGTTTTGTTTGCAGGGGCCCTTTTTTTTTAAACTGTGTCCTGCAGGTTTTCATGTTTGCTTGGAGAACAAGGGAGCTGAAGTCATACAGATTTTATCAACATATGCAATCTACATTTTTTAGAGCTATAATGTGGAGGATGTTGTAAAGGGGCTGGGTAGGACCAGGCAGTGATTGGCTGTTCCAGCTGCCTGTGGTATATAGGATTAGACACACCAGATAGGATTTGTGATAAAATACTGGATGGGAAGGTTGCCATCTTTCCTCCATATATCCTTTTTGTGAAGAAATACCTGCTGCTTTTCATTTTGCAGTGACAGAACAGTGTGAAATGCAGACTGGGACAGTGGTGGGGTTTTGTTCAGTGGGGTTTGTTGGTTTTGCTGTATATCCTACAGCTCTGAGTCAGCTGTGACCCAAGAAATAATTGATGGGCATGAATTTCCAGAAATAAACAATGAACCCTAGGAAAGCCAGGTTTTTGACAGCTCATTTTAGTTAACTAGCTCAAGTTTCAGTTGGTGGTGATTAGGTGCTCTCAAACTGGTAATTTACTACAATAAAACCTAGTTTTCAGAGGATTCATGCAAATGTAAACCATGTGTAGTGGTTTATAATAGCAGTATTTCATATAGATAAAAAATACCCTGTTGCTCAGCCAATTGGCTGTGTGTTTTAATTCTCAGCATTCTACAATAATAATAAAACAGCTGGGGCAGGAAATTGGTCATTTGCTAGTACTTAATGCCTGATTTGTGTGTGTGTTTGCCATCCTCCACCACCAGCAGAACTGAATAACACTATAAATTCCTGCTCCTTCTGGGTATAGAAATTGTGACTCAGTTATGGAAATTTTATTCTATGGTCTAGTGTAGTCAAGATTGGAGAAAATTAATCTTGTGTCAAATTATGATTTTATAGAGATCTTTTAATAGCGATTTTTTTACTGCACATTTTAATGTAGATGGGGAAAGACAAATATTTGAGTTTCAATTAAGTATTGTACAGTGATTGTGGTTAAATTTTTATGTTTTATTTGTGCTTTTTTTCTCATATATCCTCCACCTTTCAGCCTAACTCAGCAGGAACAATTCAAAGCACAGCAGGGCACAGGAACAGGGGTGTCCCCCATGATCATGAATTCTGCTAATAACAAAGAAGTGGATATCTTAAGGATGCTTACCAAGGCCAAAGATGAGTATACCAAGGTGAGACTTGCTCCCATTTTACAGTGTGAAACATAAAAGGTTTGATTTTGGGTTCGGAATAGTTCTTCTCAAAGTGTGCTCTCTCATTTTGTGTAGAAGTGGCTGGTAAAAATTTTTTTGATGGAATTTGCTAAAAATTCAAAAGAAATGAGTGCTGTCAATAACAAGTTCTGGCAGGAGAATGTGGATATGATTAGTTGTTGAATAGCAGAGGCTCAGAGCAGTATAAATTACCTTTCATCTGACCCTTAGAGCTCTTGTGGCTATTGAGGAGCACCTGTAAGCTGTGCCCTCTTTCTGGGTGAAGTATTTACCTGCTGGTAGTTTCTGTGCTTTGCACAGAGGACTTGGTTCAGGAGACTTTTGGCAGTGGAGTTACTGCTTTTAATTGTGGTTGTTAGCTCCTTTCAGGCACTAATGGAAGGAAATGAAAAGGTTGAAATGTAGTATGATTTCAGCCCGTGTGCTGCTTTGGTCTTCTGAGGCTTCTAAATAAAGAAGTAACTAATGGACTAATAATGTTCTCTATTATTGAGCAATCAAAAACGTTTTACTTTGGGGAATAAAAATCTAATAATTTTAACTATCTATATATAAGCTACAAATTGTTACAGAGCCTGCAGGTTCCTGCTGCTGTTTCCTGTATTGCTTATGTGCTGTCATGCAATAATAGAGCTCCTCAGTGTTCCATAAGAGTCTGGCAATGTACATACATCTTAACTTTTATATCTTTACATTTCTTGTGTTTATTTTTCTGAAATGTAGCTACTAATAAAATCCTCAGAAAGATGATGGCAAACTGTTTTGAGCTAGGGTGAAATGGAGCCTAAATTTTGATTGTGTAGGTTTCTGTTGAAGCTTGGGGGCTTTGTATTTTCTGCAGTAGAGATTTAATATATTATAGTGGACAAATACTTCCAAAACCTGGTGTTTTTCCCATCTTTTAATACTGAATCATTATCTAATCTTGGCATCGGAGAATATGATTTGAGATGTTCTGAAATGTTTAAAGGGTTTTCATTAGATAACCTTAAAAATACTGCAGATGGAAAACTGGAAAATATTAGGCTGTCTTCAGATTCTGTGAAAAGAGGGTGATAAATCTAAAAGATGTTACCTTCCATTTCTGCATAAGCACACAGGAAACAAGACAAAGGAGAGGAAATTCTCTTGTTTAAATAATAGCTTTTAGGACTCTTTTCCCTTTAGAATCTTTTGCAGATTTGCTTCTTACTTTATCTTTAATCTTTCTGCATTTAAGGGACTGCCAAGGACATAAAAAATAACATAAAAACTTCCTCCTCATCTGGGACATGAGTGCTATGAATGCCTGACCTCTCATGAACAGGATGTGTATGATTTCTTGTATTGCTAGTAATATAAATTTCTAAAGAGTGTGATAAATAAAGGCAATGACAACCATTTTTCTATTTAATGTCAATATGTTTCAGAGCAGTCGTGGGTTTTGACTGGTTTATGACATCTACTTTCTTGTCAGTGTATGTTTTATTACTTACAGTCTGATGTGCTGAAATTAGTTATGAAATATGTTGTTCTCTTCTTTGAATTGTGTTTATTCAGTGAAGAGTGTTTTAAAGTGTTGGAAGCTGCAGAATCAGTTCAAGAGCAACAATTTTCAAAATTTTAAGGAATTTTACTCAATTTTTAAGAGTGTAACTCATTTTGAAGTTCCTTGTTCCCAAATTATGTTATACATTTGGAGATTACATTACATGCAAAATAAAACACACATCTTTCTCTTCCTTTTTGAACTGATGGAGCTTTAAGTGGCCAAACCACTGAGTTATTTTTTTAGATCTACTTCTTACACACTTGCCTTCTCTTGACCTCTGGTAGGAAAAAGCTGGCCTCACTGACAGCCAGGGAGAAACCAGCTGAAGAGTTGCAAGGGTAGAGAACAAATCATGACAAAATGGGTTTGTCCTTTCCCTTTGTGCCTTGTCCTGTGCTGCACAGTTCTCTCCCAGCATTTACCATTTCCAGCTTCATACTGTACAGCTGGAGTATGGATCTCACAACACAGAGCTCTTGTTGGCTTTGAATATCTCTGACTCTACCAAACTTGCCAAAACCGCCTCAGTCATTTTTCTTGCTTTTTTGATCCACATGGACCATATGCATCTAAGTTTTGTTGCAGTGTTGCTGAGCCTTTCTTTGACTTGATCTTAGACCCTTTTGTTACTTAGCAATCTTTGGTAGCAGCAGAGCTTTGAACAGGACCCCTGACTAAAGGACAGAGCTGTGAGCAAGGTGTAGGAATTGCCAGATGTTCTCTGGCTCTCTCACTACAGAGCATGGTGGGGTTTCTTTCATGCTGCTGTTTGCTATTATTTGTTGATAATAGCATCTGATATCTTCTTGTCTACCTGGCAATTGCTTAAAATGCCATGCTAGTGCTCCCAGCTTCCTCACCAAGCAAGGCTGTGCTCCCTATCTGCAAAAATGGCTTTAAATTCTGAGCTCCAATAGTTACAGATGCCTCTGGAATCATCACAGGCTTCTTTTCTCTCCATGTGCTTCTGTGTTTGACAGCAACCTACTAGCCTTGTTATCGAGTCCCAGCAATGATACCAAGTCAGGTCAATGTCATTCTGGTGTGTGCTGATGCTCATTTGGCTGAGGAATTTGGTCTAAAATATGCTCATGCAGTGATGACTCTGTTAAACACTTCTGCTTCTCACCTCATTTTTATAGGCTTAGTGCTGTGATTATGCAGGGTATGACAGTGGAATCTAAGGTACTTGAGGTTTCTGAGGAATTCAGCCTATTAAAATATCCTGAGGAAATAAGGGTATTATTTAAATTCTGCAGCACTCACTGGGAAATATTCAAGAGGATGTTATCTGTGGTGTTAAAGAAAAAATTTCTGTGCTTTTTGCCCAACAGGTTGGGCTGAAAAATAGCAATGAGAAGATACATTGAAGAAAAGGCAGAACCATTAGAAAGAGAACTGTTTGAGGGGAAAAAACCCCAGCTATTTAATCTTACTGAAATGCAGTTTTGGTCCATGTAGGGTCTGTCCAATCTGACAAACAAGTGAAAGTGTTGAGGATCTACTAAAGCCCCTTAAGTCCCCACAAGAACTCCAGTTCTGCTTTACTGGAACCAGCATGTCTTCGTTTATTTGTGTATTGTCAGAAATGGGTTAAGTAATCAGCTTTGTATATTTGAGAGTGGGGTTAGAATTAATACAAGAATTAATAGAATTAACTTCTTATTAAATAATTATTTTAAAAATCTTTTCAGTTTCTTGGTTTCAACTGTATCAAGTGACAATGACTTCAAAGAGACTGTCTTCTTTTCTACTGACAGTAGAGTTCCATGTATACCCAATGCTTTTTAGTTTAATTGACTATATTCTTATGTATAGCATCTTATTCACATTTTCCTTTTCTATTTACTACTTCTCTTTCACAAAGCATTTTGTGTTTTTTCTCTGAATTAAGTCACGCCCTTCTCTCTCCACATGACATTTTTTGTCCCTGATCACTTTTAGTAATCTGTCTCTGACCATCTTTTTCATAATAAGAAATCCTCCTGATTCTACAAATGAAATCTTTAATTATTTTTCTGTACGTGTATATGCATCCTACCAGTTCCTACCATGTGAAGATTTATGTAAAAGAGTTAAGAGTTATTATTCTACTTTTTGACAAAAGCATTTTAAATTATCTTTATGGGCCCATTAATCCTTTTAGCTGCCTGTTGCATGCAGGAAAAGCATCTCTGTTGCTTGGTTTTTAAGGTGCTTTTTAAAGTATTTTATGTTTTTGAAGTGCAGGAAAAGCAGAAGGCCAAAAAGAGAGCTGAGATTTAAATTAGAGGGAAATCTTGGAATCAAGTGTTCAGTTTTACATATGTTTTGTGGTTTTAGAAAATTAGGTTGCAGTTGCTGTAGTTCTTCTAATAGGATAATACTTCATCATCAGTGCTGCAGTTAGTATTTTTGGTTATTGAATACCTGGTTATGTCTGTATTTTACTGTGGTTGGGAACTGGGGAGAAATCCATTGTCACACATGCTAAGAAACCCTTTTTTTGTGTTGCAGTGTAAGACCTGCTCAGAGCCAAAACAAATAACCAGTTCCTCTGCAATCTACAGCAACCCCAACCTGATCAAACCCATTCCAGTGAAGCCGAGTGAGACCCAGCAGCAGCGAATCTCCCAGCAGGGCAAGGTAAAATCTGGGCTGTTTTCTGGCTGCCTCTGCTGCTCTGAGCAACAGCAGCATTGCTTTGAGGTCACTGCAAGAATCTGAGATGGAACCACTGTAAGGAAGGATTTTAAAGCACAACTAAGCTGGTTTGTGAAAGCTCCCTAACCCCCACTGTGTGATGTGGAAACACACAAACTACAGACACACTGTGCTGATGCAACAAAGAAATATTGGTCTTGCAAATTTCAGGGCATGTTTTGATCACAAGCTGATCTAGTCAATTGCTGGACCACACTTTTTGTGCGGTTTTGTTTGGTTTTTGGGGGTTTTTTGTTTGATTTTCTTTTTCCCCAGTGGAAATCATTGAAATAAAGAAAAGTCTTTTCATGTATCTTCAAGCCAAATCACAGTGCAAAATCCTAAAAATTGAATTCAGCTGTGACCAGCAGATGCACAAGAAGTGGCTCTACTTCATACACAGGCAGATTTCTGTCTCTTACTAATATTGTACTGATGGCTGCAAAAGAAGATGCTCTTTCATGTTATTTAAAGCAAAGCCACTGCTATGTCTCAGATTTGCTGATTTTCTCCCACATTAGCAGCTTGACAACAGTCTTCTTGCCCTTCCTATGTGACAAAACTATTAAAAATCCTCTTGGGGAAAAAAAGAGCATAGCAGCTTTCTCAGCTTTTCATTGAATTCTGCTGGCTAAATATTGTCACCACTTAATGTAATGTGGTGATGTTTGCAGGGGTCCCAGGACAAGGGAAGAGATGAGAATCTTGACTCCATGTTTCAGAAGGCTGATTTATGATATATATTTTATTTATAGATGTTACATGACTTGTAAGGGTCTCCAGGGGTGAAGAGATAGACGAGAATCTTGCTTCATGATCAGAAAGCTGGATTTATTAATTTATTATATATAATACATTAAGACTATACTGATAGGAAGAGAGAGAAAAGTTCAGGAGCTGCGAAGCTAAGAATAGAATAGGAATCTCATAACAAGAGAGCTCTCTGTGAATCTGTCCCCGAGCTTGGTCCTGTGATTGGCCCTTAATAGTAAACATGGAACAACCACAGGTGCACCTACTGCAATCCACATCAGCAGATAATTATTGTTTTCCTTCTCTTTCTGGGGCCTCAGCTTCCCAGAAGAGGAAAACTCCTAAAGAAAGGATTTTCCGCAAAAGATGTCTGTGACATATATTTTATGATATATATTATTTTAAAAGAAAATGGTATATTAAAATAATAGAAGAAAGGATTTCATCAGTAGGCTTTGAAAGGAAAGGAATAGAATGATAATAAAATCTTGTGACTGACCAGAGAGTCTGAGCCAGCTGGACTGTGATTGGCCATTAATTAAAAACAACCACATGAGACCAATCCCAGATGCACCTGTTGTGTTCCACAGCAGCGGATAATTATTGTGAAATTTTGTTCCTGAGGCCTCTCAGCTTCTTAGGAGAAAAAATCCTAACGAAAGGATATTTCATAAAATATGTCTGTAACAATGTAACTCCTGCAGGAGGAAGCTGTGTTCACTCTTTTCCTTTGTCCCCTCGCAGAACGCGGATCCCGAACCGCAGCACTTATCCCTGACGGCGCTCTTTGGCAAACAGGACAGGGCAGAGGGCTCGGAAGCGCTCAGCAAGCAGCCCCCGGAGAGCGTCCCGGCGAGGCAGGGCGTGGTTCGCTCGCTGTCCTACGAGGAGCCCAGCCGGCACTCCCCCGGCGCCGAGAAGCAGCTGTGCCCCGCCATCCAGAAGCTGATGGTGCGGGGCACCGAGCTGCAGCCGCTGGCCGAGCTCCCCGAGAGCCGCCTGGGTGAGAACGGCAGCGTCCCCCCCGTCGGGGACACCCTCACGGGCCTCTTCCAGCCCGCGGCTGCCCACGGCATGGCCGCGGCCCACGGAGCTCAGGATGCTGCTGGCGCTCAGAGCCTCCTGCAGAAATTGCAGAGTCAGTCAGGATCGGTGGCTAAGATGGAGCCCAGTGCCGCAGGAGCTGTGAACTCGACGGCTGCCGTGTTCGGCAGGACTCCTGCTCCCGTTGGAGCGCCTGCGGCACCAGCAAACAGCATGAGCCAGCCCCCTCTGGTGTATTTCAATGGGTCCCTACCAGGCCAGACTTTAGAGGCTCAGACGCTTGGGAAAGAACAACCCAAACTCCCCAGACAGCCACTTCCTCTCTCTGGCAATCAAGCAGCCAATTCCGGGGTGATTTCACCTCAAGAATTATTGAAAAAACTCCAGATAGTGCAACAAGAACAGCAGCTCCATGTATCCAGCAGACCAACGTTGGCAGCTAAGTTCCCAGTTGTTACCCAGAACACCAACACCCTGAAACCACTGGATTCCTGGATAGAAAAGGCTCCAGGCACAGAAAAACAGAGCACTCTCTTCCAGGTAAATGGGGGACTTCATAAATAAATACAAATGCAGCAGTCTTTTAAATTTGATGTTTTCTGTGGTCAAAAAACAGAGTGTTCTCTTCCAGGTAAATGGGGAACTTCTTCATCATAAATAAATACAAATCCAGCAGTCTTTTAAACCTGATGTTTTCTGAGGTTAGGCTTGACTTCGTTGTCCTACTGCATGTTGTACATGATTCATTTTGCAGGTGATATTTTCCCAGCATTAAGTTCTGAGTTACCAAGATGTGCTGCTGTAAATCCTGAAGGCCACATCTCTTCCACATCAATGATGACCAGAAATACTGCACTGCTGGGTTGTCCCAGAGCCCCTTTGAAAAGTCACCCAGTTTTCACTTGCCATTCTTGGGCTGTTATGTGTAATGGCTTGCTATTCAGTGTAATATTTTAGGTTTAATAATTATTTTCTGCAAAATTAGTCATAACTTCCTTTGTGTAAATGTGCATTCTTTTCTATGCCAGTTGCTAAGGATATTTAAAAGGTCCCTTGTTTTCTAACAGCAGCTTTTAGAATTATTTGGATATTGGTCAGTTAGTTATCTTATATCACACCTGCTACTTCCAGATATTCATTAGCTATTTTTCTTTAATTTCCTCTGTATTGTTTTGAAAAAAGGTCTTGTGCCTGAATGACATTAAAAAAATTGTTTATTTTGATCCCAGAAGTCAAATTAGTGTCTTAAAAAATTCAGGAGATGTTGAGAGACTGTATCTCTCTGATGAGTACATTCTTATCTTCTTCAGAAAAGCAACATGTGCAATTACAAAATGTCCCATCCAAAACAACTACTGTCTTTAACAACTTCATTTTCAGTAGGATTTTCTACACTAGAATGTCTTTACATGTCCTGTCTGGGAATGCATCTAAGCCTTTTTCAGCTTCCTTTTTTGGGGATAGGCTGTGGGGTATTGGAGTCTGAAATTACTGATGCCAAGTATTCCCCTTTCCAGTGTGAAGTTGAAAAGCTGCTTTTCTATTGTGGCTATTCCATTATTGTATTTCTGTTCTCTTTTTTATTTCTCTTTTTTTTTTCTCTTTTATTTTATTTTTCTAATTCTGTCAAACCTGATTGGAAGACTACAGGATATTTCAAGATGCTAGAAAGTTCCTCTATACATGAAGAGTCTGAAAGAGTTCATTTAATAATAAAAGAGCCACATCTGTCACTAAGTTTGTGACAGGTCAAGTTTTCTAATTCCATGAGAGAAGTGGGAGGAATATTAATTTGATACAGCAAATAGCCATCATTATTTTTGTTCTTTTAATTAATGCAGTAGGATCTGAATCTGTATGAAAGAGTTTTTTGGGGATTAGTCATTGAAATTATTCAGAATCAGTTGCTTGCAGATGGTAACTTTGACTTTCCGGTGGAGAGCTAAAGAATAAAAGGAGGATCCAAAGTCAAACAAATTGATTTGTTTTCACTGGGAATGGAACTTGCCTGCTTTAAATGTAAGAAATTGTGTGATTCACTGGTACAAGTACTGATAGCATGAGGGAGGACATAATGGAGGTAAAAGGGAAATGAGGCAAGTCCAGGCTCTACACTGTAAGTCAGTATGCATGAATAAAAAATAAGGTAATATGCTGATATATTTTTCAGATGAAAAATCCCTACAGATGTTGCTATGGCAAATGACTTTAATTTTGTATGTATGAAAAAGACAGTGGTGCCAGTATTAATTGCAATATGGAAAGGCAATTCCTGAGGTCTGGTCTAATGCAATTGCAGCACTTTGACTGCTTGAGTGTGGATAGAACAGAAAAGTCTCTGGAGCAAGGCTCATTCACTGTGATTATTGCTGAGATTCTCAGTCTTCCTTTGCAGGGCTGTGAGCAGAACAAGGAGGCTGAGGCTGCTGAGGAGGCTTCCCAGGCTGCCACAGCTGCTATCAACACAAGATTAGATGCATTAAATTTGGAGATTTAGTGCATAGACTAAAAATGATAATGAAAGTGCCACTAATTATTGCTTAGGACACCTAAAGCTCTGCAGTCTGGGAGGAATGGCCTCTTTCATGTGCAGCAGATTGCACAAAAGCAAAAGCAGGGGGGCTAAAAATGAAGGAAGGACTCTGTTCCTTTGGAAGCCATAAATTAGCCACACAAAACATGCCTGCTTTTGAAAAACAACCTGGAAGATAAAAACCAACTTTTAAAACCAACATTAATCTTTTTATAATATTATCCTTGCAGTAGACCAGAGGCTTCAAGTGCTGCCATGCCTGCAGAGTAGATATTTGAGTGAAATTGAATTGGCACAAATGTATCTGCACATGCTCATGCAAAATTGATCAAAGCAGATTCTGACAACAAGTGCAGCAAAGGTTTGTTCTCTGTAATTATTTGTCTTTTGGTATTGCCTCTCCTACTATGCTTCAGCATACAGAAAAAGCAAAAGTCTGACAGGAATAGAGAGATATCTGAGCAGTGTCTGTTGTTGGAAAAATCAGATTAAAGGAACACCCTAAATCCATCAGCAGCACTAAGAAAATGTAAGCAATAGTCCTTTCCACAACTGACACATTACAAGTCCAAGTTTAAATTGGCTTCTGCTGCAACTCCATATGGTACAAGAACTGTGATCTCCCACATGAGGAGACCAGTTACCAAAAAAATGGGAAAAGAAAAAAAAAAAAAAAGGAAAAAAGCAAAATCCAAAGAATAATACTTGGAAGCATTCAGCCTGGTGTGGTGCCAGCCGTGTTTTGTGAAATATTCCTTATGCAGACAGTGAGTAACGTGTGCTTAAAGGACAATAAAAAAGCATTAATCTACAGTGGGCTTTTAGGGGTATATTTAGTGTTTGGGATGTGTTATCCTGACTATAGGTACATGCATGCTTAAGTGTTTATGTTAATCACAATTATGGTTTTAAAAGTGCTTACAACAACCCAGACACAAATTTATCATTTCTTCAGAAGACCACGTCTCACAGCTCGTTTTTCATATTTCTTGGAGCATTTTTCCATCAAGAAAGTATTTTGTACATAGTGTTACATTTTCTGAGTATGTGCATGAAACCCCAGTGTGTGTGGTGTGAGCATCACAGCACTGCTTCTCTGTTGTCCTGACTGCAGTTTCAGCAATTTTGTAATGCAAATAGGTGCATTAAACTTGTTTCAAAAAGTCATTTTGGCTTCTGTAGCTAAACATCAATTAAAATATTCTAAATTAAACTTGAAAGACAAAGCAATGTTAGCGTTGTAGCCAGCTTTGTTTTAATTAACTGCCTTTAAATTCCTGAACCATTCTTAGAATTATGTTCTGAGTTTTAAGCAGTGCCTCTGAAAACTGTTTAGGCCCACAGCACACACTGGGTGCTGAAGTTCCACTTGCTCCACCTGGGAATTCTGTGCACACAGGAAGCCACAGCAGGTGCCAGCTTGCATTGCAGGAGACCCAGTGGTGATCTGTGAGTTTGGTATCATCCAGCTGCCAACAGCCACACAGAGCCCCAGTCTGACATCTTGGGGAGCATTTGGGCTTCAGTTATTCTGCACAATTTTTTGTTCTTTGCTGCACAGCTGATGGCAGACTCCTACTCTGTTATTAGTGACTCAGAGATTTAAGTGTTGACCTGACAGCTGGAGATAATGGAGGAAGAAGCAGCTCGGTTTCTGTGGGTAAGAAGTTGATCAACAGAATTTTGGAAGGGCTGTTATGAGTGGTGAGAAGTTACTCAAAGCTAAAAGATTGGTCCAAAGGCTACAGAGGATTTACAGTGCCTTTTGCAAAAGCATGGTGTTACAGGAGTTGCACTGGTAGTGCCAAGCTCAGCATCCTGTTTTCTGGTGGGTGTCAGTTGTCCCACTGACTCAAGGTCATCTGAGCTGAATCTCAAATGAAAATTTTACTTTATTTTCAAAACAAACCCCAGACAATTCATGTTTTTTATGTAAAGGTTTGTTCAATGGCAGAAGCTTTGAGCTTGAGCTGTTAGCAAAAAATACATTGTAATATTGAGGACAGACATAAATGCTCTGCACTAAAAAAAGACACATAAACTCTATTCTTCTTCTGACAGAGTGTTTGAAATTGTGCATGACCTGTGGATGTTGGCTGTGTCACCAGCAGATGGCAATATTGCTCATTCCATACAGTTTCCATATGCTTGGCATGTCCTACCTAACCGACCCTTCTATCCAGAGAAGACAAAGCATTCTTCATGAGTTTCTTAAACCACAACATGTGTTTGTCAGGAGGAACTGTGTATTATTAAGGACACAGTTTGTCTCAGGTTTTGTTTGTTTGCCTTGGGCAAATGAGAAAAATGTCTTTAGATTTGGAAGGCTGTGTTATCTGGGGCTGACAGAGTCTGCTGTAGATTAAGCTCTGTTAGTGGGACACTGCATCTCCTCCAGCTGCTCCCAACCTTCCCTTTGCTGGAGGTTTCTGCCCTTGTAAAGCAGTTTTGTATATGCATTCTTGAAATCACATTAGGAAGAATCATCTTGTTTAAGCAAGCCCTGCCAATTTTGCAGGGGTAAATGAAAGAGAAGTCGCTGCAGCAGCGTGGATGAGGAGAGCAGAAGCATTGGGATGAGTATCTGGAGGTAGTTGGTGTTCTACAGGCAGGACAAGATCTGTGCAGAGTCTGGAGGTCTCACTCTGCAGAGGGATGTCACTTTGGACTCACACGAGTTTTCTTCTAAAATGAATGTTGTTTTTCAAGCATAGGTGTGCAAACCTTCAGTCAGTTTGTGATACCTCTGTTCAGTCAGGGGCTTGGACAAGACCTGGTCATTGCTGTTTTGATTGTATTCTGTGGGGTTGGAAGAAAGCTGCAGTCTAGAGTTTTGTAGTACTGTGTGTTTGAGAAACAGACACAATATTTACCTAACTGGGTAAATATTGAGAGGGAAAAAAGCAAGACTTTTGTGTTAGGTGTATATTGCATGCTTTCTTTCCTGACCTTTCTACTTCCTTAAATTTTCCATAAAACAGCATGAAATCTCAGTCCTCTTTGTTTCTATTTCTCTTTGTATCATGGTCTCAAAAAATTGTTCAGAAATGTCTTGGGCAGAACAATGATAACTAGGAGAGAGACAGGCTACAAAAATAGAACTATTCTTTAATGCTCATCTGTGTGGCTTTGCATACCTAGGATATCAACCTCAGTTCTATTTTCTTAACCTTAATTTTTCTTCAAAATTGAAATGTAATCCAGGACACAGAGTGAAGTGATCCAGTAGCCTTTCACCTTAATATGGGAGCAATAAATCATGCTCCAGTCCAAAAGGGAGGAGCTTTGCTGAGCTTGTATCAATTCCTATGTACTTTTAAAAGATTGGATACTTGCATAGCAAGAAGATGGCTGATTAGGATAAGATTTATTACTGGAATTACCTGGAGTGAGATCTGATGTCTGCAAGCTGAATGAATTCACTTTCTGTTATGTTGTATATTACATCTGATAGTATTTGCTAATATTACATCTGATAGTATTTGCTAATCCTGCATGATTTACAGTTCCAAGATTCACTGCAAAACTCGAAGGTGAAAATTATTTGGCAGATGTGCAGATTAGTGTGGTTAGGATACTGAGGGAACTGCTGCAGCTCCAAGGTTCTCTTTGAGGGCTACTTTGATTTTCTCAATGGTGTGTTAGTTTGTGTGTCTGTTCTGTTTCTGGCAGTGCCATGAGCTCACTATGGATCTTTAGCTAAATCACTGAATCTATGGTTTTGTTTTCTCTCTCCTTAAGTAAAATGGGAAGGTAAAATACACACACAAATATATTTATACAGTAATTTGAAGTTATAATGGGAAAATACTTTCTAGTATTAGGTACAGGGATATTGTATTTGTGGGGTGCCCAGATGATGGAGGGAATGATGAATCCGACTCCATCTTCTTAGAAGGCTAATTTATTATTTTATGATACTATATTAAATAAAAGAACATTATACTAAACTATACTAAAGAATACAGAAAGGATACTTACAGAAGGCTAAAAAGATAATAATGAAAACTTGTGACTCTTTCCAGAGCTGTGACACAGCTTGACCCTGACTGGCCAATGAGTCAAAGCAATTCACATGAAACCAATGCAACAATCATCTGTGGGTAAACAATCTCCAAACACATTCCACATGAGCAAAACACAGGAGAAGCAAATCAGATAATTCTTGTTTTCCTTTTTCTCTGAGGCTTCTCACCTTCCAGGAGCAAAATCCTGGGCAAAGGGATTGTTCCAGAAAGTATGACAGTCACACAGGGGTTAGTCTTGAACAGTGATATTTGCATGTCTCATGTTCTCAAAGATTAAACTTCCTGACTTGTAGTCCCTGCGTGGAAGATTTTACTGCTGCATTCTCTAAGTGCTGATATTTAATAGTAGTCTGATTCCTGTAATAAAATGCTGTTGTCCTAAGATCATTTGCCTATCAGATAGATTTATCACACTTGAATCCACCTCAAATTGGGTGGAAGACCTTTTCATCTGGAAGTAGATCCTAGAGGCGGTGTTGAGCTGGAGTTGTCCATCACAGTGTCGATCTCCAGTGCCCACTGCCCATCTCTGCAGTTCTCACCCTCTTCATTCCCGCAGAATTAAGCAGACAGCTTTACCTGACAGCTTTACCCGTGTTTTTATCTGCCCAGGTGATCTCCCCGCAGCGCATCCCCGCCACGGCGAGCCCCACGCTGCTGATGTCGCCCATGGTGTTC